TTCTATGATTCTATGATTCTATGACGGGTGTCTCCAACAAGGGGAGGTGGAGGTGGGTGCTCAGCCCTGTCCCCTCACTCCCCCATTTCTGCTCCCATCCAGAAACTGAATGTCCCCAGAGGGCTGGAGGTCACCAACGCGTCTGCCCGGGGCTGGTTTATCAGCCCCTTGGGGAAGGACAACTCCTTCCCCATCTGGATGATGTTTGCCTCGGTGGTGCCCGCCATCCTGGTCTTCATCCTCATCTTCCTCGAGACACAGATCACCACGTGAGGACTGGGGAGAGGTTTTGGGGAGGGAGGGGAGGGCTGCGGGGTGCCTGGCAGGACAGGGCTGGAAGAGGACCTCCCACCACTGACCCTCTTCTGTCTCTGGCAGACTCATCGTCAGCAAGCCCGAGAGGAAGCTGGTGAAGGGCACCGGCTTCCACCTGGACCTGCTGCTGATCGTGGCCATGGGGGGGCTGGCTGCCCTCTTTGGCATGCCCTGGCTCAGTGCCACCACCGTCCGCACCATCACCCACGCCAACGCCCTCACCGTCATGAGCAAGACCTCTGACCCCAGTGGCAAGGCCCAGATCCTGGAGGTCAAGGAACAGCGCATCAGTGGCTTCTTGGTGGCCGTGCTCATCGGTGAGCTGGGGAGGTGCCCCCTCCCCAGCAGGTGATGAGGGCTGGGTGCCCTTGGAGGCTCTCCCTGACCTCTTCTTCTCCCCTTCAGGAGTGTCCATCCTCATGGAGCCCATCCTGAAGTACATCCCGCTGGCTGTGCTCTTTGGCATCTTCCTCTACATGGGGGTCACCTCCCTCTTTGGCATCCAGCTCTTTGACCGCATCCTGCTCTTGCTGATTCCACCCAAGTACCACCCCAGCGAGCCCTATGTCACTCGGGTGAGTGAGCCCTGTGTCACTCGGCCTGGTGGCCATGGGCAGGGGGGAGACCTGCAGGGTGGCACCCCACGGGGCTGCCTGAACCGCCTGGAGCTCCTCAGAGAGCCTCCTGCTTCAGTGCTGACCTTCGCTGGGCTCTTTAGGCCGGTGGTCCCTGCCCTGGGAAGGGTGCAGGGTGCTAGACCCCCACCCTGACCCCGCTGGGCTCCTCATCCCTCAGGTGAAGACTTGGCGGATGCACCTCTTCACCTTCACCCAGATCGTCGTCCTCGTGCTGCTGTGGGTGGTGAAATCCACCCCGGCCTCGCTGGCACTGCCCTTCGTCCTCATCCTCACCGTGCCCCTGCGGCGCTTCCTGCTGCCCAAGATCTTCCGGGACATCGAGCTCAGATGTGTACGTAGCCCTGACAGTGGCTGGGAACCAGCGTGGTGCTGTCCCCATCCCTGTCCCCATCCCTATCCCTGTCCCCATCCCTATCCCTGTCCCCATCCTTATCGCTGTGCCCATCTTCATCGCTGTGCCCAGCCCCATCCCTGTGCTCATCCTCATCCCCATCTGTGTCCCCATCCCTCTCCCTGCCCTATCCCCATCTTCATCCTCATCCCTGTCCCCGTCCCCATCCCCATCTGTGTCCCCATCCCCATCCCTGTCCCTTCTCTGTCCCCATCCTCATCCCTGTCCCCAGCCTCACCCCCACCCCTATTCTCACTCCCATCCCAGCCCCGATCCCTGTCCACATCCCCATCACTGTCCTTGTCCTCTGTCCTGCCCCTATTCCTGAACCCCCCCATCCCCACCCTGTCCCTGTCTCCATCCCCATCCTCATCTTCATCCCTGTTCCCTTTCTGCCCCGTCCCCGTGGTCCCTGTCCCACCTCACGCCCTCTCCTGTCCCCGCAGCTGGATGCAGACGATGCTGTGGTGACCTTGGATGAGGTGGAGGGCAAGGACGTGTACGACGAGGTGCAGATGCCCAGCTAAGGGCTCGCTGCCACCCCCCGACCCCCCCCCG